CAAAGGAGGGCACAAAGATGGGGAAGGGCCTTGAGGGGAAGCCGTGTGAGGAGCAGCTGAGGGCACTTGGTCTGTTCAGCCTGAAGGAGACTGAAGACAGAGCTCAGTGCAGGTACAACTTCCTCAGGAGGGGAAGAGGAGGGGCAGGCACTGATCTCTTCACTCTCATGGTAAGGCAGGACTCAAGGAAACAGCATGAAGCTGAGTCGGGGAAGGTTTGGGTTGGATATCAGGAAAAGATTCTTCACACAGAGCGTGGCTGGGCACTGGAACAGGCACCTTAGGGAAGTGGTCACAGCACCAAGCCTGACAGAGTTCAAGAAGCATTTGGACAACACTCTCAGGCACGTGATGGGATCCTTGGGATGTCTTCCACAGGGCTAGGAGCTGGACCCAATGATCCTTTCCAATTCAGCATATTCTATGATTCTATGAAATGCTCTGGCATGTCAGTAACAAGCAATTTTTGAGAAAAATAGAACTACATTATTTTTGGAGAGATTGCATCACTGGTAGTAATCCCATTTCTCATACAGGCACTCCCCCATCAGTTATTGAGGGAAACAGTGAAATGCCAGAAAGTCTTCTGACAGTAACTATATATAAAGGAAATTAACATTATGGTTTTGGTAACCTTCTATCCATGGCTCTAAATTGAATTCACAGTTTAATTTAGAGGTAAAACAGACAGAAGATGGCACCCCTAATATAGGGCCCACCTTGGCCATCCTGTCTTTGGTGTCAACAGCTAAAAATCCCCTGACTGCCCATTACAGATTCTGTTGTTTTCTTCTTTTCATTTCCCACACACAAGCTCCATCAAGACGGTATCTCAAAAACTAGGTTACTTTGTTCAATTAAAGGAATCTCAGAATACATTGTGTTAATACATTTTCTAAACTGTTAAACTGTTGTCATTAAAAACCAGAAGTTCTCCCACAGCACAATTCTAAATCCTGGTCAGCCACCCCACAGTCAAATGTTACTTAGTATAATATTATAATGAAACAAAAGATGTTACAGACTGTGAGTAACAGACACAGAAATATGTATTACTTCACAGTCTTTCTGCTCTGCAAACAGAAATCTTCAAGCATGATCAAATTACATTGAAAATCATAAAGAAAAAATATTTTTATAATATATATTGAATATTAGTACTTCAACAGAACTACAGATGCTGCACATATTTCAATGGTTTGTGTGTATTTACAACACAGAGCCAAAATTCAGGGCAAATTGGGTCTTATTTGTACCTTGCAGGACTACAGGCCACCCTGAGGAGTGAAAAATTATAAAACTTAACACTGTGCCCAAAGCCATAAAGGGCAATTCTTATTATAAATAACTAAATAAACCAGTAGTAAATAAACTAAATAAACGAGTAGTAACAGCGCCAAACCTTGCAGTTATCCTGTCAGAACCCTTGCAGGTAACCTAAATAACAATATGTTTATTTCTCACCTGTACTACTGCTCAGTAGTTAATCATTTTTTTAAGAGCATCATAGCATTTCCATTTGTCTGGGATGTAGAAAGGCTCAAAGATGTGAGGGAACGGAGTGTCATAGCCACATACTCTTGTAATAGGAGCTTCTAAATTCAAAAAGCATTCCTCCTGTTAACAGAAATACAGAACAAATGTTAGTGAGGACATTATTTTCAGGAGTCTTGCATCACAAATGGAGGTCAAATGAACTTTGCCAGACTGACAGTCCTAGAAACTCAAAAGCTCTATTTATATCACTGAATAAGTAGTCATAACCAGAATAGTGCTTCCTCTTGCACAAAGGTCCTTATTAGAAAAACAACTTGTATTAATGTTATTTTCATTCTCTACATGTGTGCTGCATTAAATCATAGGCAGGTTATATTTAGTACATCTGCTATACATCCAGACAACTGCTGCCAAGAAACAAATATTTTAGGAACAAAGGAGTAAGAGTCTCTTTCCTGTGCCACTTTTAAACATATAGAAAAATTGTATAATCTAAGAGTGCATATTATTTGTTGGATAAAGGAACATCATATTCAAAGTTCTTTGAACTCCTAGATTATTAAGGCTCTGTCTAAGCATTAAGCAGTTATGAAAATTAAATGGATTTGCATATTTCCAACCTTTGAGTCAAATCCATGCTCTACTACTTAACCCCCTACAATTTGTGCTCTACCTGGAGATCAGATTTGATAATGACTGTGAGAGTTTCATTACTTGACCTAGAATGGCACAAAATATTACAAATACCACATTAATTTGAAACTAACCTGTAAATATGTAACATTATCAGCCTTAATAACCAAATAAATAGTGGGGTTTCCATCCTCTTACTCTCAAGTATCAGAATGATGGCATAGACCACAAAAATCTGCGAGAAGTAGAAATAACTTAGCCAGACCAAACTGATGTTGATGCTAATTATCAGCTCCCTTTCTCCCCATATCTTTAGTATAGGTATTTGCTTTCCAAAGCAGACAAATGAAGTGATAAAACATGTCTCCTCCTGGTCCTTCCTTTATGGAGTGCAGCAACTGAGAAGTCCTGGCCAACTTCCCCTGTACTTGGCTCAGCAAAATGGAAGATGAAGTATTATCTACCGGTCCTTTTCTGCCAGGTCCACAAGGAAAATAGTTAAAAACCTATGCTTTTCTACAAAAGAGTCCTAAGTGCTTTCTCAGACTGATGAACTGTTTCGAATGCACATTGCCTTGCAGTCCATGGCAGCCTGATTCTACTTACTGTGCTTTCAATCCATAGCAATATTTAGCAGTATGGAAGGTACTGGTAACACTCTGAGATCACAACATTTCACTCCAGCATTGTGAAGTGGGTTTTTCTGGACAACGAACCAAAGTAAAAAGTCCAAGAAGTTGTGATTGCACACAGTATCAATTACACTTAATAGTGCATTAATTCATCTAGAATTCACCTAGTAGGTCTGAGGTAAAATATATATGCAAATATAAATATTTTTGAGCTCCATTTCCAGGCACTCTTTTCTTTGAAAAGCAAAAGATTCACATTAGTAGAAAATCCTGGGAAGTAGAGTGTAATAAATCCTTTATCTGCCCACAAGGTAGATCATGATGTTCTACTCTGACTTGCTGGCAAGGATAATTTTGATACTAAACAGACCTTGATTCCCATGTTGCAACTGACCAAAAAGACAAGGCAATAGTTTTTGAACCATCCCAAAACTGACTGCCCAATCCACCTGTCAGCTGCATTACACCAAAACATGCAAGTATATTCTAGACCCATAGCCTCCCAGTACTGCAGGGCTGTTTTCAAGTACCCAACACAGACCACTGTCTAGAAGACAGACTGTTTAAGCAAACTGAAAGCTTTCTAGGAAAGATGTTAGAAAAAAAATTAAAGTTAAATTGTTTTGGAAGTAAAGTAGTAGGCATGGGATTTCTGATTCAGTGTAAAATGTTTACTTTTGAAAACCTGTACGAAAAAGTCATTCTCTATTAGCAGAATACCCAAAATTCAATTGAAAAATTATTATTTTGTTACAAAAATAAGAGTTTACAAAAGCAACAGCTACAGTTACATATAGTCAATATATCTAAATTTTTCTTAATGCAAAAAAATCCAGTGAAACATTAAATCTTGCTCTGCTTCCTAACTGCAGTGGCCAAATTCTGGCTCAAGTTATTCAATATGAAATTTGCCAATTTTGCTTCATTTGATTGATTTTCACTCAAAGCTTTCTGGAAAATACATTATTATATTAGGATATAAAGGCATATAATTGGTCACATAATTCTATTTCAACATTTGATGCTTAATACACACTTATTAAGACCTTAAAACAATTTAAGACCACAGGTCTCAGTAAAAATCAGTTCTTGAAATTCACAGCAATCAGTCAAATGCATCACAAAAACAACACTTTAAAACAATCACATGCCTTGATTTTTAGAACAGGAGCTAAAACCAAGGACTTGGTGGATGTTGCATAATTGTATGTGAAATGGATCCTCCAGTATGTTGTACACTCCATCTATTTCCCCAGATTAAAATATCCTAGTATGCTAATATAGAATTTTTATCCAAGTTAATTTTAGCTTTATTTAAAAGTACACTTTACTTTTATCAGAGATTCAGGTACTCATTGCTAAACCAGGGTTCTGAGCTAAAAACTCTTTGAGTGAGAACTGCAGACATTTACAGAGATAAGCAGTTGCATAAAATGGATAAAATAAAAAAACAAGTCTCCATTATTGGGCATTATTGAAAGAAATCATTACTCATCCATCTGCAATGTATGGAAAAATAAAGCAATCTCATCTGCCGTTTGGAGGAAGCACTTTCAGGCATCTGGTCACGAAGAAGATAGTTAAAAGATTTTCTTTTGCTCCAGTCTGTCCTTCCTCTGAAGGGAATCTCTACAATTCCACAGTCATAGTAAACAGACCTTCACATGCAAACACTTTGGTAAGTAAGTACTGGTAAATGAGACTATTTAATGCACAGCTAGCATATCAAACAGATTCAAACTCAGTCTTTTCCCCTATTATAGTCTTAATTTCTTTATTTCCATACTTTTTGGATCTATTTCATTTTCCTCTCTAGCTGGCATGGATTTAAATCCATAAACAGGATTTTTTTTTTTATTTTTCATTTCTACTTGTGTGTAGAATACTTCCTAAGTGAGAAAGCTTTCCTTTAAAAATAAATTAGTTCTGCAACACTTTATGTCCTCAGGGTCTCTCCCAAACTATTCTTATTTTGCAGCACTACAAGCACCCCAAAAAATTAAAAGCTACTAAAATGTTAGATGGCTGCTACATGAGACCACTGATTTTACAACTCCTTTTTCCATACATAAATTTACTTTCTGAAGGACGATAAACAAAAAGCTTATATTAAAGGCCAATATGAATATGAAGAGTTGGATAGAACTCTTGATACTTATTTTGATATTATAGCTACTATAATAAAAAGAAGATTAAACAAAATCCATTACACAAGGAAAACCATAGGAACATTCTTCATGCAAGAGTACTCATTTTTTGGCTGACAATACTTAAAAAATTTAGATTCAGGAATTCATGTGACAGGTTGCAAAGCTTTAATTAAATTGTAGTCAGTTCTGTCAATTAGAATTCTGAATTTTGCCATCTCATCTACAGATTATAACATTTTAAAAATCACATATTTAATTGAAGAACTTTTCAGAGGGAAAACTTATTGCATCAGAGTTTCACTTTCTGTTCTGGATTTTTATTCAGATTTATTTATGCTGCTGACATAAACTAAAGTTACTTAGGCTTAAACAGTTAAGAAAATTGATTTCAGATCACTTTGTTGGTGATCCACATATGGATTTTCAACTGTAAATTACCTACTATTGTAAAAATAAGATTAAACTTATTATAAGTTAATAATGAACACGACAATCTCAAATACAATAAAATTTATTTTTAACTCATAGCTTAGATTTTCAAAAGAAGCTTTCCAAAGACATTGTCAATCAAGTCCCATTTTGTAAAATGTGGATTTCATGCAATAAAGCTGACACTAAACAAAGATTAAATATTTTTCTCCTTGGTTTCTGCCGAAAAAAGTCTCATTTAAAAAATCTACTTTCTATAACAGAAAAGCCAAGCGTCTGTAGTTTTCGTATGTTTCTCACTTGTAGTACAGTCCTTTCCTTTACAGCTGCAAGCACCAAATGCTACACATTTTAAACATAATTTGCTTTGACAACATATATATGTCACATTCCTATGAACAGTCACTTCTATGAGTTACGTAAGTACTATGCAATGCACTCACAAGATATTTTCAAGGTTGAGATATGTGTAGAGAGAAAGATCTATATATTCTTTCTTTAGAACTTTTTTCCAACAGCTTAGCCATTTTTGTCTTAAAATATTTTTATAAATCTTTTCCTGATAGTTACAACAGTGACACAATTTTTCCTCTGAGAACTTTGCAGATGTATGTTGTAAACTTTTAACTTCTATCAAATACTTTTCTCCTTTTCAAATTACTTTAAGATATATATTTATAACCTAGCACAGATTAATAATGATACATTTTATTTGTTGTCAATTCTTTGCATTTATGTAATTAATATATTGTAAAATACAGAAAAATAGCTGCTAATACTATTTATTTTTTTGATTGCCAAAAGAGATCATATTTTTACCTACAGAATACTTCCGTAATTATAAAACAAAGAAAAATTTAGGGGAGAAAAAGTCTGTTCTGTGTAATTCATTGCCTTGCTACCATTAAAAAGCAATTAACTGCAAATATTGTCTTTAGAGTAATAAATCACATAAAACAGTATTTATAGAATAAGTCAAATTTTTTCTAAAAAAGATAAAGTACTATAACATGAAATAAACAATTCATACACAGACTTGAAGACTGCCTTCGAATTTCATTTCAGCTAGCTTCAAAAATGAATAGAATAATCTTTAATAACCCAATACACAACTGTATTAAATTAAATTTAAAAGTCTGTTAAACAACAAACATTCACAGCAAGAGCATTAACTTGAAGCTGTTGGAATTAGAGCCTTAGTCAGTGGCTGAGCTGTCTTGGTGGCAGAACTGCACAAAGAAATCAGCACTGCATTCCCAAGGTATTTACAATACCAAACAAAAAAAAAACCCCACAAGCCAAACAAACCCAAAACTTTATTTATGTGAAATAATTATCTTTTCAACAAGGAGGAAAATGGAAAAAAAAGAAAGTAACTTTTCTTTCTTCACAACCTACCCTATGTTTTATGCAAAAGGCAAAGACTTTGTATGAAAATATTACACCATTTAAATTGACTCTGGTAGAATCTAGGACTAGAAATTAAATATATTCAATTCAGAAGAACACAGAGACAGGAATTAAATTATTCCTAGTAAATGTATAATTTGGATTGTTTTCGGTATAAGGTGCAGCAGCCAGCACAATTCTTCTCCATAGAATAAATGTACAGGTACACTCAAGAGCATGTGGAATGACTTCCAGGTTATGGAATATGCTGCTTTAAGTGAACTATAAGAATGTCTTTTGGCTAGTCAGGTTTTTGATAATTAATTGTAATCCACTAGATGATCACTTCCCAACTTTTTGCTACAAATACTAGAAATACTACTTTTCCTAGGCAATTATGTTATATGCAGAACATGACAAAATTATTCAAATAGAAGTTGTTCCTCTATATAGCAGCAAATCACCTTACAGCAAAGTCACTACAAATTATTCTATAGGATATTCCAAGTTTCCTGAGCACTTTCTTAAGTGGCAATTATGAATATTTGCACGGGGACCAACATATTTTCTAAAAGCATGCCCAAAGCCCCAGAGCTGGAATGATTTCCCAGGCCCATGTGTATCTGAACATTCTTGCTTTATTTAGCTACTTGGCATTACTAACTGATCTGTTCAGTAAATGATCCTGCAAACTGCTACACGTACAATAATGTACAATAACGTGGCTGAATAATCCAAGGGAAATCAACACAGCTAAAGTCCCTGCATAAAATTATTTTTACATGAAAATGTTTGCAGATCACAGGTCATTTTTCCACATGAATGAGCAGTTGCTCTGCACAACAAACATTTGTTAAGCTTTTCAGTAAAGATTAACCTACTTCTAATTACTTCCTACCTTTTAATAACAAAGCTAGAAATATGCTACCAATATAATCAGACTTTATACTTTTGATCATAATTTATCACCTACAATTCTAATTACTTATTTAAGTATTTTGTAAAAACATCTTCTGGTTAAGCTCAGCATGCCAAAAGTGACTGGAAGGATTCGCTGCTAAGAGTTTTAATAGTCAGTGAGTGGTATTTTTATTTTTACAGCTGTTAAGGCAGCTGAGAGATTCTTGCAAAGACAGTCTTGTCAGTCTGCATATCTGGCACAGTAAAATTCTCATAGAAGTACTTCGCTCAACACACACTAATGAACTTCAAAGGAAATGCAATTTCAGCTGCTGTTACTAAACAATTTAAACCAGCACATTTCCCTTTTTATATTGAAGCATTTGCATTTTGGGACAGCGTAGTGGATGCTGTCACCGTGACTCACCAAATCCTTCCCCAGGGCAAATCCACGGCTTGGCCAGGCAGCCAGAGACACAAGTACAAAGGAACCGCCATGTCCTCCCATGAAATAGTGAGGGCTTACCTATTATCTTTCCAGAATTTTTTAAAAGATGACCTTTGCAAAACAGACTCAGGGTGGAGGGGATTATTGGATCACTTGACACAAAGATATAAGGAATTTCACGATGTATTATTTAAACCGAGCTGTCATTTTACTTACAAATTTAATTTATCAGAAGCTGCTTGATGATTCAAGTCCTTAGGTAGAAGAATTCTAGTGAAAAGCTTCAAGTGAATAATAAATATTTTCTCACTTAAAGGTAAAATTAACAGTTAAGAAATCTGACTGTTGAGAATAGAGATGAAAATTTTATTCTACGTAAGTGTAAAAAGTTGGAGAAAAATATAATGAGGTTTCATTATAAAGGTTTATGCAAAAAAATACTCGGAATACTAAATGAATTATATTGGAGACTGAGCTTTGGGGTATGGGCTAACCTAAAATGCACAAAATAATTATTTTACCAAATTTCTTACAGTAATTAGCTTTTTTCCTTTTCTAGAAATGCAATTTTTTATAGTTTTGATCATTCTACACTTCATTTCTTTAATTACTATTCAAGCAGACTACATTGATATTCCAGTGTAATGAAAAACTGCCAACAAAACAAACGAAAACAAGACTTCTAAGAAAGTAAGAAATTAACACTTCATTAACTTTTGCAGCTATAAATAGTCAATGCAACTCTGTTACAAAAGACCAAGAAATGGGCTGCAAATGAAACATTTTTATTTTAAAATGTTTAATAAGACCATAAACAGTTAGCATGACATCTCTTAATTTAAAAACTGGTCCAAAAATATAGACAAAGAATAACATATTTCAGAGACTACGAAATTTTGAGTTTCTTTTATGCCAGAACAAACAGTTCAGAATTATTGCACTGATTTTGAAGAGCCGATGAAATGCATGTATAAAAACATGTGGGACCTGCAACATATTCAGCAATATTACACAGACAGAAACATGGATAACAGAATTAATTACTTTTACACAAGAGAGAAACATAACAGTAGTTGTCAAATGTGTATTTTAGGAGTCTCACAGAAGTTTTCATTGGATTAAGCCCAAAGATTTAACTTGGTCAATGTTTTAGAACTGATCATTTAAATAAATTTCATACTTAAAGTGGTTATGTGAAGTTCACTTTTATACTAAATCATTTACACAATTTAAATTTTCACTCCAATGAACCTACTGCTTTTAAGATGGAACTACAAATCTTTATATAAACTAATCTATGTCTTCCACCAATGTTATCAATTGTACAGTGTAAATTCTTAATGAAGAAACAAAGTACAATTACCTACACAGCTGCCTTAGCTACTGTGAAGCACCTCTCTTAATCTTCTTCTTTTCCACTTCAGTTAGCACTCAAAATTGCCATGAATGAAATGTAAAAATAAGCTATTGGTAATATTGCAAAAGGAAAATCACAACAGAGTTCAAACTGAGGTTTTCTTTTCCCCCTATGTGCCTGATAAACAGTAAAAAAAAAATTTTCCCTCACATAAATAACTGGAGAGAAATTCTCATTTTTTTCACTAACTAAAATTTTTGCAGAACTCAATCCATCACGACTCTACTGGACTAGATATCTCTAACAAATGGCATTCAATAGCACAATACATAAAATCAGAATACCATAAATATAAAACAGAACTATAGTACAAATCAACATTAATTTACTATTTACATGCTCTGATTTTATTAAGCTAATTATTAAACAGCAACCCTACTTCACATCTGCCCTGAAAAAAAACCAAACCACCAGTATTATACTAATGTAAGATTGTTTGAGAATCAGTGTTCCCTATGTCAGATAATTTTTTTTCCATTTTTAACATAACTCTTGAAGTACATTGGGCTTCTGGTTTCACCCAATATCCAGTACTGTGATTGTACAGGAGCATAAACTCTAGCCTCCTGCAAGCACAGAGATTGTGATACAGGACATACAACAGAGCATGAAAGGGAGAACACAAAATGCAAAATTCTGTGAAAGTCTAAGCTTTTATTTCCTTTGCTAGTGACCAAACTCACCACTGCCTGAGGTTTCCTGTCACATAAAGTTACTACTGATGTCAGAAGTCAGGGATTAGCTGCACTTACACTGATGTGCTCTCCCAGCTGGACAAACACAAAATCAAAGCACATTTTAAAACAATAGTTATCCAATCATGGACATTTCTGTGCCCACCAGCCCATACATCTGATTTCATCTCAACAAATGAGACCACTAGGCCATGCACAGATGAAGCTGGGGCTTTTTCCCCAGACTTCTGACAAAGCCTAAGGATACAAAGCTTGGCAAGGTCTCAGAACTGAAGTCCTGTCTCTGCCATCACAGAAGGCCACAGTTTCTATCACAAATTGATCTCATTTAACTGTATTGTACACTGCTCAATGATAATACTGTAATGTGGTTATTGGCTTTTTTTATCCACACTCCTTCTATGTGAACAGGTCATCTTGAAACCCTTTTTCTAATTTCAAGCTATTCATTTCAGATTCATTCAGATATCATTTTTTCCCAGTATTACTTTAGCAAACATTTTTCTGCTGGTTACCTTTGTTTATCTTTTCAGTAAATTTATAAACAGGATTTACATTCCTTTAGTCTTCTTTTTGACAGAGGCAGGAAGGCAGGCATTGTTAATCTGCTTTCACAGAGCAGGCTCTCCACAGTTTCTGATGACCCTAACAATTCCTCACCCACATCATCTGGTTTCAATACTCTTTAAAAAAAAAAACAGTTCACCACACCACTGTCTTCTACAACAAAATAAGTCTATATTATTTCTACTATAAGGGCCTGTCCAAATACACTTGTATTTTTATCCAACTGCAGGATACACAACTGAGCTGAAGGTAACTGATACACCAGCTCTTCCTCTTTCACCCAACTAATCATCTATAAGCTTATGCTAAAAAAAAAGTTAGTAGTTCCTAGTAATGTAGAAACTCTGTTTCTGTGACCCTCAATATCAGCCAGGTTCATTACAGGATTCTAATTTTTACTATATCAATAATATACTGACTTTGTAACTTTAAAATTCTGATGTTTGTAACTAAGAAACTACAAGATTGTTAAGATCTAACCAAGTCTTCAAAAATGCTACTCTTTACAACTTGTTAATATTTTTGAGAGCCCCACACTATACAACTTGCAGTTCTTGTACTGACAAGATTTTGTAAGGTCAGGATCTGTCAAGTTAATCTGGCACACAGACTGTATAAAGCACAGCAAATTCACTGACAAATTAAGTTTCAAAAACATCAGGCTGACAACATTTTTATCAGAGCACAACAACAGAAGAAAATTAGTCCTTCATGCTTTTAGGAGGGAATTATTAGCTGTCAAGACTGAAAAACAGTATTCAGAAAAATCCAGCCAGTACAGAAGTTATTATGGGGCTTTTCTCACTGTATTTGGTGAGACTTTTCACTTGTCAGATGGTAGGAATACAGTCAACCAATCCTGCCAACAACTGTAAGAATTAAACATGCAGACACTGCTGATATGGATTTAGATTGCTAAAGATCCAATTTAAGTGTCTGACATTGTACTTTTCTTGATCAAGACAAGAAACATGTTCTCAAATGTCTTCTTTTGTGGCTGACTTTAAAAAAAAATCATGAAATAAAGTACACACGTAACATTATTTTCCTAGTTTGTTTTTGCTATGAATTCAGGGATACTTCAGAAATTATGGGGTTTGCTAGCTTCATAGTTTCCTATCCACTGTAAAATCAGTATTACTTTGAATGCTCCACTAAAATAGAGGCTTAAGCGTCTTTCTCTGAACAGTATATAATTTTTCAAGGCATTTCTACTTATTTTAGTGATCACCACAAATTATATAGAGAAAGAAAAGCTTAGCTTGTAGTGGTTAATAAACAACTTCAGCCTAGAAGACCCAGTGACCAAACAAATCTAGGGTTGAGATTTGCCGTGGCACAGTGACCACATGCTCAAATTTAAGTTGCTGCTTTGCAGTTTTCTTATTGAATATAATGGTTTCCTTTATTCAAAAATCTTTTGAAAGTTTTCTAAATTATTACAGCTGTTTTCAAGACTTCTTTCTTTCAGATTTCCCCTCAAACAAAGAATCACTTAGGTGCAGGCAGTTGTGTGTAATTCATTAGCTTGCTATCGTTAAAATTCAAGTAAAGCTATTTATTTTCCTGAAAGGGAGACAATTTTAGGAGGTAATCAACAATTACAGTTACAGTTCTCAGGCACTGCTAAAACGTTTCAAGTCTCTCCATAGGGATATTTACTTAAAATGAAATGTACCATCCTTTGAAGATATTAATCCTTATTGATTATAAAGGAGGCCTGTAGTGCATAGATTAGAGATGCAACTTTCAGATCAATTCCAACTAAGTAATTATTAAGAAAAATTCAAATCCATGCCACCTCACTGCAGTCACAGAGATGTCAGTACATAGACAGTGAAAAGTCTTCAGATCTTTCAAGTTTCTCAACTACCTGGAATTCAAAGCAGGTACAACATCCAGCTTTACAGGTGAATGAAGATTGCAAGTAATCAAACATATAAAAGGAAAAAAATGCCATTCTGAAGTTGCTCCTATAATTTGGGTAGACCCATTGGTTTCTTGAAACTTTCAAATACATACATAATGTTGCATATAGTAACATTACCATGTTTCCCTCCAGTAGCTCAAAACTCCATATGAAAAAGGAGTAAGTTCACATCTTCCTACTCAAAGTTTAATAAGAATTTCTATCCTTAAAGAACAGCAAAAGTTTCTTTATAACTTGTGCAGAGATGGTAACATCCACATTTATTCACATAATCCCATCAAGCTTACTTATATAAGAAATCCTTTTCTTAGTATTCTGAATATAGGCAGTGATTAAATGCACAATAACTTGAGGATTTTGCCTAAGAGGAAAGTAGATGTCTCAATTTTGGTTTAACTAAGTAGGATTCCTCTCAAAGAAAAGCTGTTAAAATTGTCTTGGTAATGCAACATTGATGATGTAATTTGATTTTTGAATAACAGTGGATTGCTTCCTCTGTATTATTTACCATTATTATCCTTATACATCTTATACATTCTCAATACATTCTAGAGATAAATTCTTACTGGAAGCATTCTGAATAAATGTGAACAATTTTCTAACTCAACACATATCAATACATGGTGTTACAGCTCATATTTCAGAGACATGCTGCCCTTTGGGACTGAATAGAACGTAAGTCAATCAATATATTTATTAGCATATAATCACATTAATTCCATCAATATCAATATATATTGTGGTTGACTTAGACATATGCACATGCAGACTTGAACTTGGCACTTGCAATACACAGAATGTGTGTTGTGACACCTACAATACACAGTATTCATTCCTAGCTTTTTATACTCAGTGTTTCTTATTCTCAGTCAAACAGCATTTTTAATTTAAGGTGGTGCCCAGGCCAGCAAGAATCTGATGTTTGGAATCTAATCCCCAAGTATCTGAATTATCTGAATCTAAGGTATTCTACAACAAGCAAATAAAAAATAAACAAACAAAAAACAGTATAATTTTTTTAGTACTCCCATAATAATAATAAATAACCATAGAGAGGAGTAAAATTGGATTGAGAGGTATTCTCTTCGTGGTACCCCAAAAGTC